GCTAGTGTCTGAGGTTCCTTCACCAATTGATTCTTGAATTTCTTCAAGATCAATTTGCCTTCCACTGTCTCCTTGGCTCATAAACTCTCTCTCACGAAAGACCCCTCTTCTTGCTACAAAGACCACATTCTCACTGGGTCTGTAGAAGAGGTAGCCGAAGGATTTCTGTGGGTAGCCGATGAAAATACACATTTCACTTCGGGGTTCGAGCTTATCATGAGTCTCACGCCTCACGAAAGCCTCGCAAGCCCAAATCTTGATGTGGTCTAAATTGGGAACCTTCCCAGTCCACATCTCATGAGGTGTTTTGGTAACCTTCTTTGTAGGGACTAGATTAAGGATATGGGCAACAGTCTCTAAGGCATACCCCCAAAAAGAGATTGGTAATGAAGCTCGACTCATCATAGAGCGAACCATGTCTAACAAAGTTTGATTACGCCTCGCAGATACACCATTTAGCTGTGGTGTCCTGGGAGGAGTCAATTGTGAGACAATCTCACACTCCTTAAGATAGTCAAGGAACTCGGTACTAAGATACTCACCACCTCGATCGAATCGAAGCATCTTAATGTTCCTGTCCAATTGATTTTCTACTTCCTGTTTGAATTCCTTAAACCTTTCAAAGGTTTCTGACTTATGTTTGATCAAGTAGACATAACCATATCTACTAAAATCATCAATAAAAGTCACATAATACCGATTAGCATCCCTTGTGGCGGTTTTGAATGGCCCACATACATCAGTGTGTATTAGGTCCAACAAACCCTCACCCCTTTTACAAGTACCAGTGAAGGTTGATTTTGTCATCTTTCCAAGTAGACAAGATTCACAACTATCATCTGATTTAAGGTCGAATGACTCCAAGACTCCACTCTTTTGGAGTTGGCCTATGTGTTTCTTGTTTACATGTCCAAGACGAAAATGCCACAATGATGCTTTATCTAGGCTAGTAGAAGAATCAATATACAACACATTGTTTTCTAAGTTGTCTACAATCGACATAGTTTCATATACACCATCACAAGGTAATGCTTTAAAATAAAACACATTATTAAAGAAAGCATTAATACCACCACATTCATTATCAAACGAACAGGTAAAACCTTGTTTGTACAAAGCATGAAAGGAAATAATATTTCTCACCATTTCAATGAGTACACGCATTTATTCAAATCTAATTTCAACCCATTATTCAGCAACAAAGTATAAACTCCAATCTTGGAAACAGGTGAAGCCTTCCTATTCCCCATGATCAAGTTTATCTTTCCGTGCTCCACATCCTCACTTCTTCTTAGTCGCTGCAAATTTGAACATATGTGAATACCACATCCTGTATCAAGCACCCAAGATTTAGAATATGGTGAGTAATTAGACAATATTGTGTAAATACCTGCATGGGTGGGTTTCACTTTCCCATCCTTTAGTCCTCCAAGTACTTAGGGCAGTTTTGCTTCCAGTGCCCCTTGTCCTGGCAATAGTAGCAATCAACATCCTTGGGAATTGCAGAAGGAGTGACAAAACCGCTCTTCGTCCTTGATGAGGAGCCTTCAAGAGACTTTCCCTTGGTACCCTTCGAAGGGGACTTCCTCTTTTTCCCTTTGCCTTGCCCGATAGCCAAAACAGGGGTAGATGTTGGAGTAGGAGTAGTAGAGGTAACAACCACCTTGCCCTTAAGACCGGTTTCAGCGGTCTTCAAGAGTCCTTGAAGTTTGCTAAGAGTAACTTCCTCCTTGTTCATATGATATGTCATACGAAATTGGTCATAACAAGAAGGAAAGGAGTGCAAAATGATGTCAATTGCCAGCTCCTCAGGGAAGTTCACATTCAGCTTGAGCAAACGGTCCACAACCTTTGCATCTTTTGCATGTGGCGTATGATGGATTCACCATCCTTCATGCGGGTTGTTATCATGGAGGAGATTATTTCATACCGCTCCTAACGAGCACTCTGATGGTACCTTTCCATCAGGTCTTGGTGCATCTCAAAAGGGTAGAAGTCCTCATAGAACTTTTGGAGCTCGGCTGTCATCGTGGCCATCATGATGCATGCTACCTTAGTAGCATCTCTCTCATGTGTCCTGAATTCGACGATCTCCTCAGGAGTACCAGTGGAGTCATCAAGCTCCTTTAACTCCTTATCGATGATATATTCCTTTTCCTCATAACAAGTAACCATCCTGATGTTCCTGATCCAGTCCATGAAGTTGGAACCATCAAAGATAACTCTCCCACAAATATTCATGAGAGAGAAAGAGCCAGTTGGGTTAGAGCCCGAAGCATTAGTGTTGGAAGACATCTGAAAGAAGAAAGAAAGTTTAGATTAGATATATAGAGTCCTTAATAAGGCACCCAAATGTAATATTAAGGATAGGATCCAATCACAATATATTATAATTAGAAGAGGGATGTCGTAATCTAAGTAATAACATATTTGAAAGGTAGGTGAATGACGATTCACCAATTTCCACCATGAAAAACGAAATGTGTTATTAGGTTTTAATTGGATTTGAAATTCCTAGATTCTTTTGAGATTCATTGAACTCTTCAATGGCATGTTTCAATCTCGACTGTGCCCTTCAAGTTTTGTGATTGGGATGCCGAGGATCACAAAACAAGGTGTGAATAACCATACTAATTCACTTGGTACCCGTAATATTATCACCTAATCAATGTGCCGGTTAACCACACACGTTCCATTGATCTATGACAAACATTAAGTCACCCTTCATGATCCTTACTAGTCCAAGTTAGTGTGCCGGTTAACCACACACGCTCCACCAACGACTTGGTAAGGTACAAAGTGTGAATTCCATGGACTAGCACCATGTTCACATTTTTCCTAAAGTAACTAAGATTGGGAATTAAAATATTCAATTACTTTATAATAATCATTATACTTTTAATGAGGATTTAAAGTCATTGTCCTACCCGTTCGGCTAATGACCCTCCACCGATCAAGGAAGCGGTGGGTGAGAGTGGACACCCATTAAGCTACCATTTTATAGGCAACAACCTTATACTCCCCTTATAGACCGGCTTCGTGAATGAGACCTACTAACAGTAGAACGACTTATTCTTATACATATATAATTAACCATTAATGTTATAAATAGTATAAGTGTTGAATTTTAACCATTAAAACTCTAAGGGTTGGAATTAAAGTTTATTAAAGTGTGTGAAACTTTACAAATTCAAAAACTTGAGGGCAAGTTTTTTAACTATCCAAAACTTTTCATTTCATAACTTATGAATTAAAGGTTCATAAAAAATGAAGACTGTTCATTTTTATGTAACTTATGTGTTTAAATGTGTGTTTAAAAGAAGTGACCTTTGGATATCCATAACTTGAGGACAAATTATGGACTCTATTAAAACACATAAATGATAAAGAATTAATCCTAAACAATTCCGCAAATAATTCCTATCATCTTCTAAATTCATAAGAATATGAACATGATCATCAAAGTTTCAAGAATTATATGAACACATACAAAGCATGAAATTTTGATATATGCTATTGTAAATGGATTAGAACAACCATTACACCAACTAAAACAAGTTTTCAAATACCAAAACAGTTTAGGGGAATGTTTCTAGTCCATTTCCAGCAGCAAAAGTCGAAAATCTGCATTCTGAGGCTCCTACTCGTCGAGTGCACAAACCTACTCGGCGAGTAGGATGAGTTTACACATGAACTCGGCGAGTCCTCCCATGGACTCGGCGAGTTCATCAGCCAGACAGCAAAAATTCGATTTTTTATCACTATTTTGCATCAAGTATCAAACAAACAAACAAGCCTAGGCTCTGATACCACTGTTGGGTTTTGATCATTCTAACACTTCCTAAGTGTACATGCAACCCTAATAAACCTTGGATCTATGTTTGTCTATGTTTGTCTGAGGTACATGCAAAATATTATTTTCCAAGGTTTATAACCTATCTAGCATGGCATGGGCTACTTTTAAACATATAAGAACTATATGACTTACATACCTTTTGTTGATTGTTGATTCCTTGGAGTTTGAGAGCCAAGCACCAATAATGTGAATGCCTCAAATGGAAATCATAAATCACCACAAACTTGGAAAATGTTATGAGAG